AGGACTGTACTATATCATTATGTTCGATTCTTTACTTTGATTTATAATTAACATTAGCATTTTTTTTTTCATTTAGGATTTCAAATTTTTCATTGGAAAAGAGATAATAAGTGAAAACTTGTAATTGAGGAACGAATTAAATTCAATAATTTGCAAACTAACAATTAGAGATGACGACATTTGTGGTAGTATCATCAATATTATCCCAACCGTCTGCAAAAATTCTCGACCCATCAGACCAGACATGCTGTGGACGTGGTGAATTCAAATAATCCAACAGTAGCTCTCCTTGTTCTTCTAAATGTGTATATGCTTTTTCATGATATGGACGCCATCGCCAGTCAAAATCTCTCCTGAAGAATTGAAATCAATCATGCAATAAATTTTTCGTTCAAGATTTTGATAACTGATATACGCAAATATGGAAGGATCATATGAACTTTGACCGGAATATAATTCGGGTTTTTTCGGGCAGTTACATTATCACGATACGAAATGGATAACAGTGATAATTCTCAGGAAGTTTTGACATGACATCAAGTCAATTAGTGTTATTATAATTGAATAACAAACTTCGCTGACTATTACGATTAATAATAACGATACTTATGAAACAAAAAATTATTAATTAAAAAATGAAATAGAATAATTGGATGAAATAGAAATATAGTTAAAATAAGCAAACCTATATAAGCCGATATAGTAGTAATAAGTATTCGCATCCGTCACAGAGCATAACAAATCTGGGTTACCATTCAATACTTTTACTAAAAAAATGACCAATGTCCAACGACTAATTATCATTGTTTAAAATAATTTAATTAAATTGTCCGCACACTTTTGCAACTCCATTTGTAATAAGCAACAAAATTTACAAATACAAAAGGATTTTTTGAATTGACCAATTCGATTAAATATTCAAGTAAAGTTTATTTCTGCATATTTTAATTCCTAACTGAAAAAATACAAACCATAAAGGAACATATTAATGTTTTGATTTGGAACTCTAACAAGCCTTGCTGTTTTTCGTTCTTTTTCACACGGATCGCCTTCTTTGCTCGACACATCAGTTACATTTTTTAATGATGTGATTGAAAACTGAAATAGAGCTAATGATAATTCGAATTGAAATAATTGAAGTAGTCCTTTTTACTTACCTACTTAGCTATTTAATTATTTACTTATGTAGAGTATCGTACAATAATTTCATCCAGTCACAATGATATCAGTGATCGTAAGATTTATAAGATAAATTGATAAAAATAAGTAATGGATAAAGGGTTTCATTTTTAATTTTAAGTTTCTTACATTATTGCATTGCTAATTGGTAAAATGGAGGGGTAATTTGAGTGCGACGATCTCAAAGTATTCTATTTCTTTTTTTGCAAATTCTTTGCTGTAACTCTTCCAGAAATTCCTCTTCTCTCTAATTTTATTTCTCAAGTCTTTTACGATCAATAAATCACAATTTCAAATAATCATTATAACACATTCTTTTGTTTCTTATTCTTTTCCACTAAAACTATTTTCAGCTATTATTGCTGTAAAAGACGATTTGGCTTATCATCTTTAATTTATTGTTTTGTGACTAAAATTTAATTCCAGATCAAATATAAACTTAAATTAAATCCTATAAATGAATGTTAAGAAATAAGAAAAAATTTTTTTTATAGTATGGTACATTTTCGTAGAAAAAAAAAGAAAAATTGAAATTTTTTAGAATATACCGCTTTATAGCAAAATTGATTAAATCCCTCGAAAAATTTGATCCACCCGACATCACATTCGATTGTTTCTGAAATGAGAAAAAATTTTTTCTTGCACAAAGTGAACGATTGCACCTTTGAAAACTTCATCAATTAATTAATGTTTAAATGAAAGAGATTGTCATTTTAAATTATTCGATATTTTGTCTTGCTAAAAAAAAAGCACAAAATTTTCTGCAAAATTTTGTTGAGCTCCTTTAATTGATCATTCCGAAATCATTAAATGAACTTATCTCTTTAGTGTAAATTTACTTGTAAGTTCTATAACAAATTTTATAGTGCAATAAAAACAAAAAAAAGAATACGATTGTTGCAAAAATTTTCCTAAATTTCTGTTATTTAATTTTAGCAATATCATTTTTTTCAAACTGATAATTGATATAATATGATAAATTAAGAAATAAAATGATATAATCACAAAAAAGATAATATGTACGTCTTTCCTGAGCACTACTCAACCGACAGAAACGACTATTGGAATGATTTGCCATAACACCGAAATAAACTGGATTACAAAATTCCTCATATATCGTTTTGTGTGGAAATGGTTCCTATAATATTTTATTATTTAAAAAAAAATTAAACAATGAAGAAAAAAAAATTGACCAAAAGAAATAATCATTCATAATTTTTAATGTGGAAATTTCTCATTTCTATAAGTAAGAAAAAAAGGAAACAAAATCGGATTTTTGAATTAACGATTCTTCTCATAATATTTTAGGGAATAATTCCGAAGTGTACAATATTTGATGACTAATTGTAAAACGATTCATTATTGAAAAAAAATCGATTTACTGATAAATCTTAACATTGTAGGAACAGTATTGGGGAAAATTACAATTCATTCTCTCTCTCTCTCTCTCTCTTTAAAAGAGCAAACAGTTTATTGCTGCATTATCGCTTGTCCAGTTACTTAAAAATAATCAAGAAATACCGGGGGGAGCTTGCAGCAATCTATACCTTTCTCATCTTTCGTTGGTATTGACGGCGGAACACAGACAGTTTCTTAAATTAAAAAATGCTAAAAAATTGGTCGGCTTCCAATCCTTCAAATTTTAAATAATCAATTCACTTTAAATCTATCCATTTAATTTCAAAAATAAATGAAACATTTTAGCAACCTCTTTAAATTTTAAAAAGGTTCTTTCCTATATAAAAAATTTTTACTATCTAATATTTAGACAAAGAAAAACCTGTGAAATGAAATTTTGCTAGCAATAAAAATGTGGAAAATGTAAAGAATTGCATGTTGCACTTCAAAAATGTGAAATGACCAACCGATTAATTTTGCAATATTTTATGAAATTAAAAAAATTTATTCACGTATGTTAATTTTTCATATGCAAAAATAATATGATGAAATTAAAATTGTAATGATGACTGATATATTCACTTTTCAGTAATTTCCAATTAACTCGTTTATGTGCAGTTTTGTAAACAATTTAACTTTGAAAGTTCTTTTTCTAGTAATAAAGAGAGTTGTTGAAGTTTCTTTTTACTTATTTCAATCATGGAATTTATCTTCATTAGCAAAGATTTTAAATTGCTATAATTGGAAGTATTCAATACAATCATGGGAATTATCTTTGTCACTCTTCTAACTGATGTTATCGCCGCCATTTTCCACCAATACCGTAATATGATGGAGGAGTGAATTCAGCAAAGTCTGAAATAAATTACAATATTGCGCATTAAATAAATATTTCTAGATAAAGTTTTAATGACAACTATCAAATCATTAACAATGAATGCTAAAGTATATTATCGATCGGCTAATCATTTTGAAAAAGTTATCCAATTAAATATTCTTCGTTTTTTTGCAATTTTCGGTATGAGTAAAACTGTTTACTGTTGTATCCATTGGACAGTGACAGTCGACGATGTTTACGTATATATCGCCGCGAAATGGTACAAACATTCTTTTACCATACATTCATCCGTTCCATTCATTAAAGGTTAGAGAAAGCCTTTTTATTCATTCACATAACTTAGTTGTGCCATTTTGTTTGCTATATTCAAACTGCCATAATTAAGTAAATGTCACCAGCTTGATGATATATTAAACATAAATGCTAAAATTTAATTCTTATACCTCTGTGTCACTTCAATTTAGCTACTTCAAGAATTATCGAAACTTTCTTTTTCCAGTCTATTATACTGTACAAATTGAGCGGACTGCATGTTCGCTTATCAAATTCAGATCAAAACATTTGCTGCATACCCTTGTTTTGTATTTTTTTACTTATTTTTCACTTGTTTGCCGTACAAACTGTCGGAAAATTAATTCTTTTCCGTCTGTTCCAGTTCATTTTGAATTATCCCATCAACTGAAAACTGATAGAAAAGAAATTTTTTGATTTAATTAGTGTTTGCAAGAATTTGTTCTTTGATTTAATTAGTGTTTGCAAAAATTTTTCCTTCAAAAAAAACGAAAGTTTTACTATTTTATGTTAAAACTGCGCATTTATTTTATTTAACTAATAAAACCGATTTATCTTCACTCGAAGAAGTGACTTTATTGATCAGAATGACATAAATTAGAAAATGAGGTAAAATTACAACCATAGCTGATCCAGAAATTGGCTATTGGCGCAAAATAAAATTCTAATGCAATTGCAAGAATTTTTGGAGTTTAACAAATTTCAAATAAAATCAAATTAAATGAAAATAACGAATGATGCTGCTAATGATTAAAGCAGTCAAATATAAGACAGTGTTGGTGATTCAGAGATATTCATAAATCTCAGATTATCACTGCTAATTATGAATATTTATTTAGCTATTATAATACTAATTGCTTAATTGGTTGATACTGCCACGGTTCGATTTTACGTAGTTATTTGCTGCCATGGAATGAAGAATTTCGAATATGCGAATTTGATTCAGTTCGATATAAGAAGCTAAGTTCTTTTCATTTCATAAGCTTCCCATAATTCTACCTTAACTCTATTCACATACAAGCTTGTGATGCCATGCTTATATCATGTCACCATAGTAACAGTATAGGAATGTTTGAATCCCTTTATGATAACAGTTCTTCTCCTAATAGTTAAGTTTCTTGAATTTTTTTCAGATGACTCACACGAATCACCTGAAGTCGATTGGGCAAAGATCAAACAATTAGTGATTATTATAAAGTTAAATAGACAACATTGCAAATTACGTGATGTGATTTGAGGAGAAAGTATTGTGCACGAATCATAGCACGTTAATATTCATCCTCATAACAATAAGAAAACGTACAACAATAATATTAATTCAAACAGTTAAAATTTCAGTAAACTAAGTTTAAGGAGCTGAACTAGCAGAGCCGAGGGTCCAGTGGTGTAGTGGTTATCACGTCTGCTTTACACGCAGAAGGTCGGCGGTTCGATCCCGTCCTGGATCAGTCCGTTTTATTGGAAAATAATTATATCCTGTATTTTGACCGACACCCTATTTAATTGTAATTAACAAAAATTACGCAGAATTACTAATAAGCAGCTTGTTAATAGAAAGTATCATACACATTGCTGATAACAGAAACTGCTAGTATGCATGAGTATTCACCGTTATAATTATGCAATAAAATGTATTAAACCTTTGGCACTGGTCAAATTTTGCATTATCATGCTTTTTTGAGCATTTTAATGTAAAATACAGACTCAATTGAAGAACTGAAAGAGATGGAAGTCACAGATATTTTGGTCACAAACTCGACTTCAGATAGCACAAACAAAGTGGGGACATTTTATGGGTATTTCAACATCGCTAGAAATCAGTGTAAATTTTATGACTTCCAAGTAAACTGACCAAACAGCAAGAAAAATTTTCGCAGTTTAGATTTTCAACAAAACTTAATTGTTTCTTTGAAATCATCCATATCAAAAGTTGATAATTTGCACTGGTAAAACTTGTATAATTAGCGGTGTAAATTCAAATTTCCGTAGTAACAATGCTGAGAAATAAAGTTATTTTATAGTCGTTTTATATCAATCTGTATCGAAGCCTCGACTTTATATTCAAGCCTAAGTAAGTTTAATAGCCATTTATCTGTTTTTCATATTCAAAGAAATTCAGTACTGAAAATAAATGTAATTTATAAAGTTTAGAATAAATTTGTAAACAGTAATTTGAATGCGAAAAATAATATTATGAAGTTCCTGAACGTACTATCACTAAACGATGGCAAAAAACTGAAGATTAAATGTTCACGTTGCTAACTATGATGTATTTATAAGGAATACAGTTAGAAATAAATTCGATAAACTCAATCCGAAGAAATTAACAATATTCAATAACTTCAGGATCCTCCATCAAGTTTCCTTTTACGTTAGTCAAGTTTTATGGGATGTTCTGATGAAGACAAGCTTGTCGCAGAATTTCACTAGCACTGATAAGCGTGAAATTAAGCAGTATTTGAAAGGTCTCTTCATTTTATTAAAACTTGTTTAATGTACCGAAACGCAAATTTTCCACACGACTTACCTTTTTCGGCATAAAGATTTGTGACATTTTTAAATAAATGTTATTAATTTTCAATAAAACATTCGCTAAAATGCATCTCTAACACGAATAAGCTAAAGAAATCGTTTTGAAAAGCAATAACTTTTAAAGTTACTTTAAAAGTTATTGCTTTTCAAGACGATTTCTTTAGTTTATTCGTGTTTAAAAAAAATTTTTATTTTTAGATAAATATTGATGAAATTACAATTCATATAAGCCTTGTACACTGCTTCAAGGTTAAAACGATTTATATCTTAAGAAATATAAAATATAAGTACAAATAATTAAAAGCAAAAGCCACTGTATAAGATGAAAAAATAACAAGACGGATAAAGTATGTTATTCAATTCAACAACTTTCACAATTTGGACATTTTTTGTAACAAAAGCAGTTTCTTCTTCTCCCCAAGACGGTTTGAAAATAGAGATTTTTTTTTAAAAAAACTTTGCGAATTAAAATGAAATTATGAAACAGAATCTGATAAAGCAAATATTGATAATTTTATAAATACATGAAATAAATGGTCGATAGAAACCATAAACTTCTATAGTCAAATCTATACAACTGTCCATAAGTTCCTTATGAATACATGGAGATTATTTTGGAAATTAACACTTGGTAATCAAATAACATGGGTTCAAAAGACTGAAATTATAAAATTTTTTGGTTTTCAAATCGAATACCAACATAATAATTCAGCAAACAAGTATTAATTTTAGCAGGCGCTGAACTGAAAGAAGAGCGAAAAATTCTATATTTTAGATAACATCTAAAAATAAATTATGAAATTTATTTTTCAAAAAACTGAAACTGTTTAAAAACTGTTTTTAAGAATAGTTGTCAAACCTCAAACGTCGGAGATTTGAACCAATTCTTCATCGGTTACCTCACGAACTCTTGCTTCTTCGGCCGCAGTTGACTCGGATGATCTCAATTCTTCAATACATTGCATAACAGCGCAACGTACAAGCTCTCGTTGCTCCGGAGGGAATGATAGAATGGATGAGGCGATAGTCCGGCTAAAGTGTTCATCATCTATATCTTGCCGTCTTTTTTCTCCTCCAGTTAACAGATTTAGATTCCCCAGCGCTCTATCTGTTTCCTGAAGTATAAAAATTATTTTTAAAAAAAGCAGCGGAAGAGATACCACTCTATCCGTTATGAAATTTATCTATTCCGATGCACATATTATCATTTATTATTATCGACATCGTTTTAAAGCCTATATTAATATAACTTTTTGGTCCTACAAAATCTTGATTGATAAAATATCAAAAACATACCAAATTTGTAACTTCATAATGTTCAAGATCGTTATTGCCGTTTCTAGAGGATGGCTGGGCCAGTTCAGAATCGGAAATACTACGTTTCAAACGCGAAGGCATAGCAACTTCTTCACCTCTATTCTCCATGGAAGGCAATTCACTAAAAAAAACTGAGGCTAAAATAAACAGATCAATTTCCAGTTTTTATCAGACGATATCACAATAATAAAGTAAATTATAACTGCAGAATTACTTATTGACAAATGAACTTCCATCATTCGATTTTGAAATTATTTCGTCAAACGAATTTCCATCTTGCACATATACCACGTCGACAAATTCATCGCCATCAGCATAACTGAAGTTCAAATAGGAATTTTCAAAACTAAAAATAAAAAATGGAAATGAAATACCTCTCTTCAATTATTAAAGCAAAGAAAAACCAAAGAGATGTAGATCAGCTATAAAAAAAGTTTCCAAGTTTTCAGCCATTTACTTACGAGCCATCTTCTCGAATGAATACTTCGCCGGCATAAGACGGACCGCCTTCATCTGCATAACTGTTATAGGCTACGACCTTTCCTTTATCAGCGCAGTGCTGTGCAACTGCGTACTGCTGTTCTTAAAAATGATATGTATTGAAAATTTATTATTTGCTCTAAAAACTTGAGTATTTTATAGCAAAGAATTTCTTCACAATGTCGCTGCCTTTTTTCAGATTTTTTTGAAGCTTATAGCTATAAGCCATACAACAAGCTAGTGTCCTAACTTACCCTCAAACTCTTCCCACATCTATAGCATCTTCGGCTAATCTACATTGAGATAAAAATTATATAAACGAAAGAGTTTCTTGAAATATTCGCAAGAATTCAGTTAATGTAATTCCAAAAACCTAAAATTATCATACCATCATAATCATCGAAATCTTCTTCATCAACCTCTTCCACCCATGCGCTATCATCATCAATATCAAAGCCGTCGTCACCTCTCGGTTTTCCAGCAATTGCTGTAACACGTTTTGTTACCGGTCTGATGATTCCTTCAATGAGATTATCGTGCATTTTTCGTAGGTGGCGTAACATTGCCCTCGTTGAACCCAGCTTGCGTACCATGACCTGAAAGTACAAGAGAATTTATAAAACATTGCAAAGAAGAAAGGAAACTAAGATTAAATGTCCACAAAACTTATGAAATTTCAAATTTATATTTGAAACAATTTTTTGTAACTTCCATCAAACAAGACAGAATATGCTATCACCGTAAGAATAACGAACTCCGAATAACAAAAAAGATCCTTCATCTTTTCCAGAAAAACTTACTGGAGAAAAAAAGCTTACCATACCACAAATCCTGCATTTTGCCTTTGATTCACCATCGTCGTCAAATTTCTCGCAAAATAACCAGACTTTTGATTTTGCCTTAGCCAGTGGGTCAATCGCAGTCTCTTCTTCATGTCTAAAACCAGAAAATGATATAAGCAATGAATTTGTCCTGAAGAGATTTTTATTTTTCTTTGACGGTTTCTTCTCATCCCTACTCATTCTTTGGCAGAAGAAATGTTTTATTTTGAAAAAGTCATTATTACAACACAATATACATTGAAACATTAAATGAGTTCAAGCAATCAACGTCACGCAATACTGCTGACAAATAGTGGAAAAATATAGCAATTAATATAATAAAATAAAAAATGGTATCATGAAAAAGTATTAAACAGACATGAATGAGTGAAAAAGCGACACTAAAATGAGATATTTAAAACAACCTCAAAGCTTCTTGTCTAATTGACTCTTCCACATTCTTGTCCCACTCCTTTGGCTCATCAATTCTTTTTCGTCTGACGATTTTCCCCTTTTTCGGCATTCCCAAGCACCTTAGTGAGTGAGAAACCAAAGTTATGTTGCTGTTAGATATAGGGGCTCTGCTGTAAAAAATGAGAACATTATCATGATAGCAAACCCTTTTCATCTGACTCCACTAAAGAACACATAAATTTTCTACAGCTGTGAGATGTTTGATGATTTCAACCCGATATTTACTTTTCTGTTTAGCTATCTGAGGTGATTATTGAAATAACAAATATTAAAAATGAGATAATGGACGAATTATATTACCCAACACGGGATTTCTTCATATCAAGTCTGGATGACATAGGTGTCGGTGAATAGCTTTTACGTTTAGACATACGAGCTGATCGACGTAACGAAGAACTGGCAGCTAAAAATTGCAATCAAAAATCAGCCTCAGCTTTTGAATCTATCCAAAAAACTTCCTATTGTTTTTAACAGCAAACTATTTCAATCAAACTACCAGCTATTTGTCCATTTTCAAATTCTCATTTAATTCATAGAATAATTGTCTCTGTATAGACAAACAAGAATAAGTAGTAAACCACAGTCTTTTAAAACAATTAAATCAAACTAGTAAAAATATTAGTAATTTTCAAATCATATGGTAACTATACAAAATCAAACTTTTGCCAATTCCAATTCACTTCTCTTAAGTAATATGAAGTATTGCTCCCAATAAATTGAAGAACGAACCGTTCGAAAGTTGAACTCCAATCGATTGAGTATGCGTATCAATGTTATCATCTTCTTCTGCGATACTAACTCGCGAACCATCAATTCGTGGAATACGTGATGTCGTCATTCGAACATAACCAGGTCTATTATTAACTACTTCTCCCTGAAAACTTGCAACAGTGCTTTTCAGTTCTTTATGCTGAAAAAAATCTGAGCAGTATCAAACTGTGAGGGATATATTCCAGATATCGAGAACTGCCAATACTGGATTCAAGTAATCTGCAACACATTAATCTATATTTCAAATTGAATTTTAAATAGAAAAACAGCCTAAGAGTCGATGCTTAGATGGGAAATTCATGCAGAACCATTCGTGTACGGTTAGACAGGTGAAACTTTTTGAGAAAAACAAAACCCTCATTTTGTGGATCTGCTGCCAAAGTGTTGTAAGTGCAATCTGTTCACCCGTCTCTTCTGCAATTCTGTCCTTTAATTCGCGCAAACTTTTAATAGAACCATTCAGTCGCTGCTGCATTAAATCCATCACTTCTTTTCGATCAAACACACTGACTTGTCGTCGACCCATTTTCTGAACATAATATTGAGAAATAATTTTTCGATAACTTTAATAATTTAGGGATTAAAAGTAATAAGAATTAGAAATAACAAAAATACGACAGGTTTTAGCAACAATGAAAAAAATGCACGCTATCATCTATGACAAAAAATGATAAATGCAGCATAAATGAAATTAAAAATGAACTGAGCTCTGCCCTTATAATCTAACTTTCACTTTGGAAAGTGACTCTGTTTCACCTCTACTTTTCGTTCTCGACTTTTCCCCTACTCACATGTCATAACCCAACTCCGGCACACAAAACCATTCTCGCCTACAACCAATCTCACCATTCCTTACCACCAACGGTCATGGTTCGCCGCCATAAAATACTGAACAGAATGCAATTTACGGCCCCAGCTCTACAATGCACTGAAAGAAAATTACACGCAATGAAAATACTTCATCCCTCACCACTGTATGGGCTTTGTGTAAAAAACCATCTTTAAAAATTTTAGAAAGGCTTCAGAAAATTTAGGAAAGGAAATATTGAGAGCCTGATTGGGTCATCCTCCGATCATTCCTGGTACTTTCCAGGAACTGACTTTGTTTGAGCACACATGAATATTTTTCAAAGAGAGTATTACGCTTGTTGGGTCAGTAATGATCATAGTTAAAAAGGTCTCGGGGACAAAACTGTAAATGATTGTTTTGCTCGCTATGGCAGCAATTTCCTAGTCTCATTCCGAAGAAATGATGCATTCGTGGAAAAGAATAACAGTAATTCTAAAAGGGTTCCGGAAAATAATTCATTTCCCCATACATCCGTTCTCAGGAATTTTCACGTCCCTTTTTGTACAGTGCAGTTTTTCATTTATTCATATCAAATTCTCCTTATTCAGTCTCATTGCTTTCATCTAATTTTAAGTTTTATATGATGTAAATGTGAAAAATCCTAATGATTTAAGTAAATGCATTTAAGTAAATGCATAAAATCTAAATAATAATGTACCAAACAGAAGTCTGTTTACGATTCGGAAATTCTAGATTGGAGCAAATTTCCTGAGGCGAATTACATGTACCGTAGAATTTCTCCGTAATTCTTATTGGTTTCTCATTCCAGAAGTTTGTTTACTTCATGAGATCGGTATAATTGATAACTCTTTAATCTTTTCCCTCTTCCCCTCTCTGAATTGTTTGCTGAAATATGAGTGTTAATTCAAACATAAAAGCAACTGCACCCTTGCTAATTTTCGATAGTATTTCCATCCTACATCAAATCCATACAGATTCCGATTTATAATCTTGACTGCTTTTGCCATATACTGCCCCCGAATCTGTATTCTACCGATACAAGCATAATAAAAATGCTGATTAATTTAAAAATTTTCATTATTGAAGTATAAAATGATGCCCAGAATATGGATTCATATTCTTGATAACATTAATTTGGGCATCTTAAAGATTAGCAACAACAGTAGTCATTTTTGCGCTCACTGGAAAAGTGTAAATCCCTTTTAGATGAAAATCATTCTTCATTCCTCTTCTCCACATAGAAAATATTGACTCTAAAAAAGGCATTTTATAATCTAAAAAGGTCTTTCTTTTTTCCAGGCATAGCTTAAGAAAGAGTTCAGCGTTTGGCACTATATAAAGAATCCTAAGGGTAGCGCAGCTGTTCTTTCCTTTTCTCATCTTCTCTCTCCCTTTCTCTCCCTCTCTCTCCTTCTCTTTCTCTGCCCCATTCCTCACTTTTTTAATCAAATTTGCCTTGCTGATTTGCTTATTTTCCATTGAGAACGAAAGGAAGGAATGAAATAACGGAAGGAAATCAGATTTTAATATTTCAATGGAGAGATGACAAAAAAGAAGAACGAAATGATTCGTCCATTTGAGCTAATGTGACAGCATTATCAGTTGAATTATTGAAAGTCATGAAAAAATTTTTTTTTGAGAAATAAATTCAACAATTGGCCCAAATTAAGAGGTATGTTCCTTGCTTCTTGCATGTTGCATCATGCATCATGCAGTCATTTTCTACAATTCTTTTTGTTTTGCAATCGTAATGCATCAAATTCATATTTTTGAAGAACCAAAAACTAATAAAGTGATTGCTTCATATCTCATTATCTTATAGGATGCGGGCTATTAACTGTACTTGGTATCAAATGTTGCTTACTGCAATGCTTCTTATGCAGAGGCATTTGAATTTGATAGCAATGGGTGATAATGATGGTGATAAGAATCGATTATCATCTAATGTTGAGAAGTGTACCGCACTTACCGAACAATCAATCAGTAAATGTCTCCAGGAATGTTTTTCTTTTTATTAAAAAAAATTTTTTTTAAGCGATGTTTTTGGTAGCAGTATTTTGCATTCACTACTTAACATCTTTCTCATCTCAAATTTCATAAATAAGATAACTTCAGCTAAAAAATATAATTAGCTATCTTATCCGAAAGAAAATTCCTCTCACTTCAATGAAAATAAGGAAAAAAAGCAATTTCATTTTTTTCATAATTTCAACTTCCGTTTAATATATTGCCTTCGAGAAATTGCTTGGCAAGAAAAAGGTGATGAAGTAATAAATACCTTTTTAGAAATCGTTCCAAAATGCAATCATTTTGATTTGTTGTGGTACCATTTTTTGTGGTACCAAAAGAGTTGAGCAGCATATTAATAAAACACGTAATTAATAGGTGATGGAAGCATTATTTTTCAGATTCTGTACTTGACACTCATTGTGATTTAAACATTTTTCCACGTTTCCATCAATGCAACAATATTAAAAATATTATTATTATATTGAATATCGCAGGAAGTGTACTATTGTATCAGTGATACAATAGTACCATACTCTACTCTTTATGCTATTTATTTCATAACAGATTTTTCAGCCAGTTCTGAATTATGCGGAAAAACTGCAAGATAAAGGTGCAATACACTTCCCTGTACAAGGAACGAATATTTTCAGAGAGTTGTGTAATGTTTATGCCAACTTCAAGGTAACACTTATTTCTACTAACTTATTCAAATTTTCTCTTATCAATAAAGTTACAGAATTCTTTCTATTGTCAAATTTTAAATTTCAGATTTTTCTCACGAGCATTTCTGAAAAATTCGCAAATATTGTTTTATTTATAAATGAAACTCTTGCAACTAGTTTAGTTCATAGCTTTTTAAATTATTTTCAAGTATTACTTGTTTGTTTATTTCTAGCAAAAAAATTCTACATTTAAACTAAATTGATAGTATCCTGCAAATAAAAGATAATGGAATACAAATTTGAAATGGATTTATGTAAAACTGACAGAATGCAAAGTACTACTTCTTTTATATTGCTTAAATTAAAATTTTTCCCCTTAATTTTACAACATCTTAATGTATCTTGGAGTTATAGCTGTAAAATATTATTGAAAAGATTTTAATAGTTTAGAATAATCAATAAATTTGCTATTATAGATTAAAATTTTAAATCAGAAATTGTAAAAAAAACACTTCAAAAAGCTTTCACATTCCAACTACTCATGACAGATCATGGGCTGAGCCGTTAAATTACTTAAAAATTTTACGAAAACTGCAGGAATGCAGTCAAGACATATCTTGTTCAAGTATATCACTCGAAGCGGTTGATGCCAGTTATGGGTACATGTGTGGTGAGGGATACAAATTATTTGAAAATTATGCTACTTGTTTTGCTGAGGTAAATCATTCGCTTTATCTGTTTTTTGATTAAGCAATTATTAGAGACTTTGAAAATATTGTATTACTTTCATCTTTTGCTCGTTCTTTTTGTTTAATTCTAATTTTTAATCTTCATTCCATCTAATTGTCCTAATTATTTTCGAATTTCCTTCAGGAAATTGTTAACTTTTACAATTCCTAAACTAGTAAACTAGAATTTAGTCTATGAAAGATAAGTGCTAATTTAATTCGTTATAAGTTATTTCTTAATCTCCACTGTACATAATTTGTATACAGGTAGAAATAGAAAATAATTATGTGAAATGCAAAAATGAAGCAAGTGCAGCGATAACAGCGGCGCAAAAGGCTAAAATCCCGAACGATTATAGCCAGTATTTCGAAGTTTGATGTTGCATTTTTTAAATCTTAATTTTTGAATTTTTTTTAGACTTTAAAAAAGGGAAATTTGCATGTAAAGAGATTTCAATTCTCCCTTTTAGCTTTTATGCGAGGTTATGGATCATTATTTGCGATGTTGTCGTCCTGTAATCAATGCACATTGCGGACGAGGTGCTTGGGAATTAGTGCGAACGGTAAGCTTACGCAACAGTAAAATTTTTAGACAAAAAATGTTGACTGCAAACCAAATTTACTCTTTTCAAAGTTGAGAAAAACTGTGAATTATAAGGGTTGCTTACATCGGTTAATTTTTAAATATTCAATTCATTCTCCTTCATTAATTGTTGAATCGATATGGAGTCACAGAATCCGGTTTTAGGTTTTGTTTTCTTCAATTATTTAAGGAAAATATTTTTTAAACTACCATCGTTTTTCACTGCTCTTTTGATTTTAGTTATATTTTCATCTACGAATGCTTGACTTGATTATTGTTTCAAGAATTTTATTTACCCGCTTAATTAGTATTACTAGTTATAATTAATTACGCATATATTTACAGATTACTTTGGACAGTCTACGCGTAACTATGCCAGCATGTGATCTACATAACGCATTATTGTAATTTGCTTAAATTTGTGTGTGAAAAACAAAAGCAATAAAATTTTTTGATAAAAAAAAGCTGTCGATATTGAAATGTACTCATCCTATCGTCGATGCATTTCAGTTTCCCTATTTAGCATGTTTTCTTTCATTTATTCTAGAAAAAAAAATTTCTGTTTTCGTCATAGCAGGATGTGACGGTTGTTAGAATTATCAATCAAAAATTTGTTTGCCAATCTGTATTGGAAAAGAAAAGCATTTCCAAAAAATTCTCCAGAGTTTTTTGCAGTTAACATGAAATAATATCCAAATTTTTGATACAAATTTCTTGAAGGAATTATTTTCACTGTATTTTCAACACTTACTTCTTTCCAAAAATCTGTATACGAGGACATATACCAGCGAGTTGCCTGAAAACTTTCATTTTATTTTAAGAAATTCTGAGATATAAAAATAATAATGCCTATCTTTCGGTTTAATATCTTAAATGCAGGAATTTTTGACAGCATTAGGATAGAATGCTTAATTTATAAGCTAAGTCCTCACTTTTTTATTTTTTCATCAAACAAGAGTATTTGCAGTGTTATTGATGAATGGAACAAAAATTATTTTATTTATTAACTGTCCTATAATTACCAATAATTTAGAGCTTTCTCTTAATATTTCAGTAATTCTTTAACTTTGTTGAAAATTTAAATGTAACTAAAATAATTTAAAAAAAATTTAAATATACTAAAAATATTATAACTTTCCATGAAACAGTTAATTCTTTAAAAATTCAAGAAATAGAGAAAAGTACTTGTAATATCCAAAAGATTTCATCGGGATTGAAAGATAATCAGTTTGATATTCCAAACGTTATTTTCTTTGGAAGCAAAGATGAAGTAATAAACTAAATCTGCCGAAAATTTATAATTCAAATTACCCATCTATTTCTGGAAAAGTCTCCTTTGTAACTTCCAATTTTCTTATCACAGCCTGATTTATCTTTATCATCTGATATAATCTGATAGTTTTGAAAGACTAACCGAACACCGGCTCTTTCAATGCAAAAGCAGAGATCTTGTGCAGATGTTGTCTGAATGCCACTACTGAGAGCGCAATTCTTCATTGTTTGAATTACCGTATTATCGGACGGCAAATCAAGACCACAACTTGAAACAAATTTTGTTAAATGTAAATCAATATTTTAATATTCTATGGCTGCTTTTCGAAAAGCTTCGATGAAAATATCTCAAATTTAGATACTTTAATCCTTTAAAAATAGAACAGGAAGTTGTTACTAACAAATACTGACAAATATTTTTTTTCCAATAAAATACAGTAAGAAAGCTTATATGTCTTATACCGTACTTCGTACCGCATTTATCCAATTTCTTCGTTATGCACGATTGGAAGCATCGGAAAAATCGTCGACCTTGAGTTAATAAACCGGTTACCTGATCTGCTATTCCTGAAACACTGGTTTCTACTTTTTTAAATGTAATTTGTATGTTTTTTACAAACAGATTCTCATTTTCACCATTTTGCTATCCTTTCACTCATACAAATAACCTCATTAAATGACCACTGAACATTCATAATTTTACTCATCTCAACTGTGCAATAAATATATTTCCTTGAAAAAAAAATACAAAATATATAAATGGTATAGTATTCGATCTAACAAGATATATATCATTATTAATTTTTGATTAAATTTAAAAATCGTCTAAAATAAACTATTTCGTTACCCATTCTACGTAGCTCTTTATTAATTTCATTCATAGCTGCAAGTTCAATGCCCTTTGCATATCGTCGTGGTATCAATTTCGCTCTTTCATTTCTCCGTGCACATCTAAAGAGGAAAACAAACGAATGAAAATGAAAAGATATGTCAACCATACCCTATCTTTTTTTCTTTTTCGAAATTGCTTTAAAAATTAAACTTTATATAAGCCTCCAAATCTTTATCAGTTATCATCATATCAATTAACACAAAACAAACGCTATTGACATTCATTAACAAGAATGTTGTTAAAGTTCAGTACAGAAAAATTAACAGCGAAAAATTGTTTAGTACAGCAAAACTAACAACGAGAAATCGTAATAAGTTGAGAACGAAATTTCAATTTCTTTCATTTCAATTGCAGTTAGAATTTTAATAAAAAAAACAAAAACACAAAGACAAAACTAACGCATTGGGGAAGGAATCTTCTGCGCACTTTATAGTATTATCAATAATTTGGCTTTTTTGTTGGAAACAGTTACGAATTTGTTCATAGTTGCCACCAATAGAAGAAATAAATCTCTGAAAAATGAAATTTATCAATCAAACGGAGAGAAATAGATATGTATTAAATATCTAACTTGACAACAATTAATTTAAGATTTAAAATTAAATTAATTAGTCATGTTTGATTTCAATTAATTTATTTATTTTAAATTCCTTGCATATTCGCAAACTACAGACGACTGCTACGAAATGGTATGGAAAAATCGTAATTCAGATTTCTAATAAAATTTCATCTAATCAATACATTTTATACATTTAGAAATTTGCTAATGATATAAGGGGAAAGATTTAAAATAGATTGGTATAAATGGAATAAATGAAATACATAGGTGTAATTAAAAAATCATTGAAAAAAAAGTGAAATTAAGACCAACGAGGTCAATGAAAAAATGACGAAAATATTGAGTATGATGAAATTGGTAGACAGAACGAATCACCTGACATTGATCAGCACATGGCATGACTGTTTGGATGGTAACTGTTTTGCATGGTTCCAATTCATCGCATGTACACTGTTGTATCAATTGTTGCGCATGGCTCATTTGTTCCCGCATTGCAATTATTAGTAATATAATCAAACGTGTCATTACCATATTGCTTATTGAGTTGATCTGATAATTTATGCTAATTTTCATTTTATTTTAAATGTTTGAAATATTTTATGAAATTATCTTGGTACTAATTTTCAAGTTAAAAATATTTAGCAGAATTCTTTTCTTTCAAGATTTTTTAATATTACTAATAGAACAAACGAACCGAACTATTTACAGTATATTGATATGATTTTACAGACAAAAGCAAAATGCATATTTCTACAGGAAATATTTTATTGATTTTAGTAGCTTTTGATTTTTTGAATAATACTTTTAATAATTTTATTGTTTTTAGCATCAATATTTGCATATCTCAATTTAAAATTTTCATTCATAACAATGAACAGTAAAAATCGAATATTAATTCTTTTGATCCTTAACTTAATTCACTTTAATTTATCATTTTGAAAATTAAATTATAAACAACTCTATCATTGATGCTGAAAAAGCTCAATTATTTAATCAAACAAAAAGAAAAAAAATTGTGAATTTTAATGAAATAAAGGAAGGTCAAAGTTAAGGTTGACAGAAAATTTCGAGCAATATTGACGTAAAATATTTTGTCTTTTGTATTTAAAGTAAATTGGAACGACTGTAAGTCAAACCCTTTGTAATGACTAGTTTTTTCATGTTAAAAAAATGAATCAAAGAGCAAGTTTTCTCAATAATTTTTTCCTTTGGTGATGGAAAGAGAGTGACGATGATAGGATAAGACATAAAAATGATGGTGAAAAATTATTAAATAGTGAATGTGGAGGAATATCGGCGAGAAAAATAAAAGGTCGTTCTCTCGAGAATTGTTTTAAGGAAATAAGTGCGAAAAAGACATTAGAAAAAAGTGGAAAAAAGGGGGAAGTTTAGAAAAAAATCTGTCATTATCACTATTAATTTAATATATAATTTTCTTAAACCTCAACCGTAAAAAGACTTATGTATCGAAAGTTTTCAAAATTTCCTCCGATATCACTTTCTTGAGGTTAGTATTATGATATTTTTACAAGATATTTGAAATGTATTTCATCGCTACAACAGTATTAGGAAATTTTTCGGGTAAAATACTGCAACTTAGGAAAATTTGTTTAGAACAAATAAATTGAAGATTGAAAGTTTTCAAAACTAGTTTTGACGAATTTATCGATAGCATATAGTTTCAATTCGAGATTGCTCAAAATAAAAGATGATCATTTTAAAAAATTAAACTTTGAAATCATATCAATTTAAAAAATTTATGTTACTTTTCTTCAATATCTTTGGATTTCTTCTAACTTTAAATCGCTATTGTAATTTGCACTGATAGTATGCATATCAACTTGAATCAACAAAAAAATTTTCAAAATGTTTCATTAAGTAATAGTGTTTCATTAAGTAAAAGTGTAAAAATCAACCCAACAAGGGCAGAACAATAATGGTTTCTTGAGAAATTTTTCATGCATTATTGCAAACCTATCAATGCGCACACTATTAAGGAATGAAACTATAATTTTATATTATAAGTATTAAACATTTTTCGAAATTACAATGATTTAAAGAAAATATGATGAGCAAAACATTTGTATCCTAAAAGAGTATGACAAACAAACAAAAATTGTGAAGAAAAAGGTTTTTGGCAACAGATCTGGCCAAATTAAACTAATTTAAATTTCAATCTTGACCAAAACTGTAACATTTTTTACAGTAGCATTTTTTTACTGTAGCATTTTTACTACTCGATCTACTGTAACACTTCCTTGCGTAAAGCTGATTGGAAATCATCTTAAAATAACAGATGGTATTTGATAATTTTGGTCAGATTGATCTGCATTGATTACTTCCTCCTTATGATTGAAAAATAAAATATTTCTGTTTGAATTAGACGCAAATAATTGATCCTTGTTGCGAAATTTATCTCAATTTTCACTTCACTGCTACTCCAATACTTTTTCAAATCTGTCTGTCAGAAATTCTTTGTAATAATTAATAATTATATTGTAATAATTAATGATTATATTGTAATAATTAATGATTGCAATAATTAATGAGTAACTGGTTATATTCGTATTTCGTTTTTACAACTTGTTGTCAAATTAAACATTTTAGAATTGGTTTTATATTACTTTCAAAAAAAAGAAAATTGAACAAACAAATCACATAGATTTTTTTTTTTTTGTATAGAAAAAAAAGTGAAATTGGCAAAGCAAGCACACCAAAAAAGATAAACAATAAATGTAAATTTTCAATTTGATTATTTTTTTTCAGCTCAGTTATTTTGTTCCAATCGCTATTTATTTGAGTGATGTACTTTTTAAAATATTTCATAAATTCCACCAAATTTGTTCTATAAATGCTTATGCGATTCATTGCATTTTATTATCATTCTGTAAAAGAGGAGAAAAAAATTTAATTGCCAAAATTTGCAGAAAGACTAATTTTTAGTTGTACAAATCCATCATGGCAAATAAATTAGCAACAATTTTGCAATAATTCGCTCAAACTATCAAATAATATTATCTGATTTTCTTTCAACCATCTATTTCATTTGCTTTTTAAAGATCTTGCAGAATTGTCCTTTTTGAAAAATTTATAGCTTAACTGATGATACACTGAATTACAGGTTTGAAAACCACCTTTTCCATCTTCTCTTCTTTTCTTTTTTCAAACGTCACATTTGAATCAAATAATTATATGACCATTTATATTTCATGAATTCTTTTCAATATTAGCCAGAGATAAAAAAGAAGGAAAAAAATTGTTTTAAATATTTTCAATCAAAGATCTTTGGTCGATGAGTCAATGATTTTTAAACTATCAGACTTATGACAGGAGTGATTGCTCAAAAATTCGTTTAATGTAATAAAGAGAAATGAGGAATAAGTTGAAAATTAGTATTTATTCAATTTGGAACAATATCTTTCGAAGTTTGCAGATTAATATGAAATTGGAATCTTTCAAGGAAGTGTTAAAACGTCAGGTGCCAATTGACATTGGTAGACCAATACCAATGTTAGTACATGAATTGGATCATCCTAAAAATTGTGGTGATCCCTGGATTGGCGCATATTCAAAGCACGGCTTCTGGTATCAATTTTCAGATGGCACTAATGATGACTATCAGAAGGTGTAAAACTACTCTTCAACAATTTTAGTATTATTAATTGAAATTTTCAATATGAAAATTAGTTTTAAGAAATCAATTCAAATAATAATATAATTTCAGTATTGACTCGATCACATACATCATAACAAACATATAATATGAATGATCATAATTCAATTTTTTCTATCCTTTATAGGTAGTTGCTCGAGCATATGATAGTGATTCATATAAAATGGATTATGATTCACTAAAGGTATGGAAAGCTATACCAACCTGCCATTGTCGATTCATCGTCGCCAAAAAACAAAGTAAAACATTAAATATTTAAAGTTTTTTTTTTATATGCAATATGAATAATTGTCATAAATTAATCTTGCTGACAAATTTTTCTTTTTTATTTTTAATGGAAATTATATTAAATTGATTTGTGTTTGCTATCCGTTTTTTTTAATGTAATTTCCTTCTTCACTTCTATCATTGTTTTTCGAAAATTTCTAGTCTTTCGTCTTTCGATAAAAAATGAAATGATTCATGAATGTCACATAAATTATTTTTCTAATGACAAATATACACTTCTAATTCATTGAAAATAGATGAACTATTAAACTTTGACATTTATAATAACAAGTAGTTTTAGTTACTAAATCGCAGTTAATTTTTTCTTTCCCTTCTTTTATTTCACTAACATTGAGAGATTATATATTTGAGGTGAAGATGAAAATGCATTGAGAAATTATGAATTAAGATAATTAACAAATCAGAGAGAGGAGGAGGGAAAGAAAGGGAGAAAAAAAGAAAGGTTCAATTTGTATATGATAAATGAAAGCAAGTTTATGATGTATTTTGCTAAATTAACTAACAATTTAGCAAAATAGTTTGTGTTTTGAAATGAAAATGTAATCTGATATTAGTAAAATCTGTTGAAAGGTGAAGTAAATGCTGTCATTTCGTTCCCAACAGTGTTTCACTCAATTCATTCATTTTACAGATAATGAAGTTCTTGGCAGCATAACGATTGCTTGCTTTAATGATTTTGCAGTAATTGGTGTATACTATGTGGTTGAAGAGTATCGACATTCAGGTATTGGAAGCAAACTTTTTAACGAAGCATTGAAAAATGTCAATTATCAGCAAACAGTAATATTTCATTCAAGTAATTCTCATCTTTCTTCTTCCCATCTGTTTTTCTCGCACTTAAATACTAAGAACAATATTCATTATTGTGTGGTTACAAAAAAATTCAAATGTAAAAAAATAAAATGAAATTAGAAAATTAAAAAAAATGTAGCGCAAAATATTTTTGCGTGAAACATAAGAAGTAAAAAGTTATAAAAAGATTAATGTAAAAATTCAGTAATTATTGGCTAATAATTTAAATGAAAATTTTTTTCTACTATTAATTGCTTCGCACTTTTTTTCGGTTTATTTCTTTTCTTTTTTCTTTTATTTTCGAAGCCATCATTATTATTAACTATGAGTAATCTATTTCAAAGAGAATAAAATCTTATTTTAAATTTCAAAACACTAAATTATGATGCACCATTGCTTGAATTCTTTGTTACGGGATCAAGCTATTTTAAAGAAAGTTATCGTTTGAAAAATGTTCTTTAAGTAAATCAAATCAGAAATTTTCGTTCGGCTAACCAAATGTTTAATCCGTGACATTTGAACTGCTTTTTTCTTTCATTTAATAATTTATTGAACATTTATGCTTTGTGTTTCATTTAGTGTCACATTTGGCCAGTAAATGTCATCGTTTCGGCTTTACGGCATCATTGTTGCAAGAATGGAAATTTGTTACATATAAACTCAGCAATCCGTCGGCATTTCCCACGCTTCAGGTTTTTTTGTTTTTTTGTATGCTTACTCTTACCTGTTTATTTTACCATTTCTGACATTACCTAAAGCACCAATGAATTTGAACCATTTATGAAAAATTTTCAGAATAAAGAAATTACAATTATTAAATACAGTGATCTTTCGGAAGCTGAACTTACAGCTTTACTGAGTTATGATAAAAGTGTAACAAATTTGAATCGAGATGTTTGGCTGAAGGAATGGCTTCAACGAGAAAATTTCAACACTTATATTGCTTTTAAAGAGGCACTTTTTTATTTATTTTTATTTTGAAATTGTTCAAATTTCAAAATTTCTTTTTTTTGCAAATTTTTTTTTCAGATAAACTTTATGATTCGCTAAATTTAGTATAGTTATTTAGAGGGAAGTAATCGGATATGGATGTTCAAGAGAGACAGCTGGAGGTTTTGTATTACCTTTATTAGTTGGCCCGTTATATGCGAATAATTTTGAAATTGCTAGTGCTTTACTTCATGCTTCATTGCAGAAATACTATGTAATTGTTGATTATTCTTTCAACATTACAATTTTTTTTGGAGGATTCAAAAACTTTAAAAATATTAAATTCCATTACTTATTTATTTGTTGCTTAATTTTTTTTTGAACAAATAAAAGGCAAAAACAGAAATAATAATTGAATGTATTTGTTAATGTTTTCGTGGGAAAAACAAATTTTAAGGTTTTTTTTATCTCAAGTGATTATTGATTAAATGAAAAATTCTCAAAACATTTTCGGGAATTATTTTTTTTACAGAATCCTGATGAAGATTACGATTGGGATCCTGATATTTTTGCAATATACAGAAGGAATGTGTATTTCGTTGTACCGGAACAAAATATTCAAATGATAGCATTAATGGAGAAACTAAAAGGTGAAATGGGAACGCTTAGCAAAGATCGACTGTGCAATATTGTGGGTATTTTCGATAAATCATCGCACTAGAAAGTAACAAAAAGAATGTAAATGAGATTTAAAAAAATTTAACCATTAAAGTAATTTATCAAAGTAGACCAAATTTTACGCTAAAGACGCGAAAATTTGAAGTGATAATTCAGAAAAAAGAAAACTGATAATTTAAGAAATATAGAAAATGTTATTTCTAATCGATGTGTCTATTTTCAAAAAATGGTAGGTTGAGTTTTCGGTTATTTTGTCGCATGTTCAACAAAACTATTACAAAAAAAGAACACCCAACAGAAATTGAAAAGATGGTAATTTGGACAAATGAAAAACATCAATTATTGTTCACTTTCATTTATTGAATCTTTGGATGATGAAAATATTGACAGTCACTATCATTTGACCCTGAAATTGACCACTTGAGAAACGATATAATTACACTGCGTGAAATGACCTATTTACTTCCTGAAATTTTCTCAACTATCATTTTTTTGAAAATACAGTTTTGCTCATCAACTTCTAATTTTCTCCCTCCCGATAATAATGATAACATTTCTCAAATATTACAACTAATGTGTTTTCTCAAGCATATCAATAGTAGTAATTTCAGAGCAAGAAAAAACATCATTTCCTTTGTTCCTCCCTCTCTCTCTCTTTCCCATATACATACACACACACACACACACACACACACACA